ATAAAAATGATTTCCAACCAAGGTCTGAAAAAAAACAAGACCAAAAAAGAGCAGATGAAAACTCACTGCTTTCAATAACAAAAAAGTAGTGTTTTGGTCAAGGTCTAGGAACAATTTGTTTGTTTTTTTGTTTGCTTTATAGTAAAGCCACGTTGGGCTATCTGCTGTGTCCATCGCGGAGAATCGAACCCCAGGTTTTAGCGTTGTACATCTGTAAACTTACCGCTGTCTCAACGGAGGACTTCTAGGAACTGGATAAATAAGCATATAAAACTTACTGATTTCAATAACAAGTAAAGATTGTTTCTGGTAAAAGTCTAGGAACAAGGTCAGAAAAAAAAAGAACATTAAAAACTCACTGTTTTCAATAACAGGTAAAAATTATTTTCGACCAAGTCTTAGAAACAAGACCAGTACATAAAAACACCATAAAACTTATTGCTTTCAATAATATATAAAGTTTGTTTCTGTCCAAGTTACAAAAAAGAGAACCAGCAATAAAACATCTATAAAAGTACTATTTTCAGTAACAAAACTTGCTCTGGGCTAAGTTCAAAAAATAAAATCAGAATAAAAACATCTCAAAACTTACTGTTTTCAGTAACAAATGAAGATTGGTTACGAAGGTCTAGAAACAAGACCAGAAGCCTCCAGTGGCACTGCGATATGTCTGCGGACTTACACCGCTAGAATCCGGGTTTCGATACCCGTGGTGGCCAGAGCACAGATAGCCCATTGTGTAGCTTTGTGTTTAATTACAAACAAACAAACAAGACCAGAAAAAAAATAAACAGCAACACAGACTTAATTACAAATAGCACAGAAGTCTATAATGTTTAGAAATGTGAAAAAAAGATACCAGAGTCCATTTTTTCAACCCTTTCTGATAGTTCAATATGAAAACAAGTAAATGTGTAACAAAAGAGGTAATTTATTAAACAATGGAATTTTAAATACGTGTTTTAATAGAATAAAATACACTAAATCACATCACCAAGAAAAGTGCTTGAATGTGAAATATTTTTTGTTCAATAAAAGGGTGTTATTCCTTTAGAATTTCTTTTAAAGTCTTAAAAAAATATGGATTTTCAATACTATTTTTAGGTCAGTAGAAAAAACAACAACTCAGAAATGTTGGTATTGAGCTTCGTTGTACGAAAACGTAGAAGAACCGCATTAACATCGAAGTAAATCAAAATTCCTAAAAAACAAAACAAAAGGCAAGCACATTACGCATTATTGTCGAAATCGTTAAAGAACCTCAGAGAACCCATTTTACACAACTATGTACGAAGTTATCTGATTGAAATCAAAGTAAGCACTTATTGATTTTCAGGCAGGAACCTTCTGTGTCTATCCAAAATGATAAGTAAGCGTAATCAATATATTGGGAACAAATGCGATGGTAGTGACAAGTAAAGAAACGGCAGCCTGAGAATCGTGAAGAATTTTTCAGCAAACCCAACTTTGTTCTTTTCCATTCGTGAAAAAAATAGTGTGGATTCAAATATCTCCCTTATCACTCTAAACTGGTCTATCATTCACTATCGCTCTTCTTTTTACTTCAAGAAATTGTTATTAATCTTTTAAACTGCAATACGCACGATTCGGATTCAAGTTTTTTTTTGTTTATCTCGAAACTTCGATGCATTTTGAAAAGAAATAAATTAAAAGATAGCGTGAGTCAGAAAATAATAGCTAAGTTTTGTGATATCCGTATAAATGCAGGAGAATGAAAATAACTGTAAAAACAAAACAAAAAATGTTTTTTATAAGAATTCAGCCAACGTAACATAATTTCTTCTCTCACTATAGCGAAATCCAAACTAAGTTTCACGTTTCAATTTACCTTTCAGTTATACAGTTTCAAGGTGTTTTTAAAAACTTGCTCTTGTAGTGAAAAGTATAAATTGAAGCTTTTTCTTGCAAAGTAGTTACACTTTAATCATACATTCACCTCTTCACGTTATAGTTTTATTTGGTCAGAAAGTATATGAAGCAGTTTGCAGTGACACTGATTTATCTGCAGCTAGTCTAAAGACTGGGCGTCTCCAATTTAACATTTTCAGCCTAAATGAATGACTGTGTTGTCCAAATGTATCATATACAGAGCAAGTATATTGAATGAATATGTAATATTTTGGAGGCTAACTTTAACGAAATGTTAGTCATATGACTAGAAATTAAAATGTTCCTTTTTTTTTCTGAAATAAAATGATAATATTTTTACTTAAAAAAACTCATGTAGTTTCCGTCTTTTTTCTTCCCAGATGTTAAAAATTATTACACATTTTTTAAATCTTTTAAGAGAATCTGTTGTAATGAACAAAACTGATTATACAAGGTTTCATCCAGGACAACAAAACAACAACAACAAGAAACAGTTTATCAAGTTGAATTTTGTAACTTGTTTTATAGTAATACAAGTTATTTGCCCTGATGAAAGGGAACTATGAACTGTAGTCTAAAAATATATCACAGACGAAGGTTTTAAGTTTACTTTCTGTCATAACTAGTTGATAATTATCCACCCATGCTTACGCTTTTAGATATGACATATCTTATACTTATAGGAAAACAAAATGTTTGTTTATTATGAATTTTGTGCAAATCTACATGAGGGCTATCTGCGCTAGCCGTCCCTAATTTAGCAGTGTAAGACTAGAGGGAAGGCAGCTAGTCATCACCACCCACCGCCAACTCTTGGGATACTCTATTAACAACGAATAGTGTGATTGACCGCTACATTATAACGCCCCCACGGCTGAAAGGGCGAGCAGGTTTGGGATTCGAACCCGCGACCCGCAGATTGTGAGTCGAGCGCCCTAATAACCACCTGGTCATGCCGGGCAAGAACAAAATGGTTATACCATGTTTCATATTATTAATATACAAGATTTTAAGTACTCAATAACAATATTTACAATATAATAATTTATATTTTAAATATTCACAAGAATTTGTTTTAAATTTTCATAATACTTTATTTAGATTTCCTGTACGTACTATTAGTTGTGTATATATCTTTATCATTAAATAGTGATCTTATATGATTTGAAAAGTTATTATAACGTTTTAATGATCGTTACACATACTTCAGGAATTTGTAAGCTCTCAAACTCTTCAGCTCTTCTTTCATTTCATGTTTTTGGCAGTTCCATATACATTTGCTAAATCTATTTAATGTCATATAAATATAGAATTTACGTAAAGATCATATGTCTAAAATTGTAAAATGTAATTACAGTATTATCAGACTGTGATGATGATAACATACGGGTTATAGTTTTTTGTAACACCATAAATAAGTATCTAGACAACAGGTTATACCATACTTTAGGATAAAATCAAACGAGGCATAGTAGACATCATTGATGGATACAAGTTGTTCTAAATAATATACTCGTTCTGTAACATTTTAATTTTTTAGTTCTTTCCTTTAATTTGCTCCTCTCATTTAAATTTATAATCTTTAGACTATTTTGATTTTTGTAAAATACAATTTTAAGCTACTGTAGATAACCTTATAGATTGTTATATAAAATATGTCACACTTTAACGTAACATTCGAAACAACAAATTATCATACTTACATCATTCATTATTCTATTACCGACTTGTAAGTAATTATCATACTTACATCATTCATTATTCTATTACCGACTTGTAAGTAAATATCATACTTACATCATTCATTATTCTATTACCGACTTGTAAGTAATTATCATACTTACATCATTCATTATTCTATTACCGACTTGAGTTTCAGACAGTGAAAAAATGTCACGAAATACAAAACAATGTGTTGGAGTAATATCTATGGGTGTCTTTTTATGGAAGAAAGCAATAAACTTGCTAAATCTGTCAAAGATAAACATCTGCAGTTATCTGCCAGATGTTGTCTACAACTTATCGACAATTACAGGTACTATCTGCGTTGAACATCGTCTCAGAAGGCTTTGAGTACACCAAAAATTCATTTTCATTTGTCTTTTGTTTTGCCACAGTTCTTTTGATATGGTTGAAGTGATAATGGTATTGTTATCTCTAAGAAAGAACAATCGTGCTAGACGTTAACCGATGCTTGAAACTAAGTAAATCCCTTAGTTTAACTAGCCTACTTTGTTTGTGATTATTATCTTCATAATAAGAAATACAAAAATATCCAGTTCCAAGACTACTTCGACATTAAAGATACTTCTGTGAAGAAACACAGAAATAATGAACGTAATAGACAAACAGAACATCAAAATAAAAGGTTGTGTGAACGCGAGATCTTGAAATAAAAAATACTGAAAAATCTAAAAGCCATTCAGTTGAAGATCAACTTTTGGGATAAAAACATTTACACTGGGTTATGGGAAAATATATAATTATTGCAGTTGAAGGAGGTAAAAACAAAATTGTTTGTTTGTTTTGAATTTCTCGCAAAACTACACGACGGCTATCTGCGCTAGCCGTCCCTAATTTAGCAGTGTAAGACTAG